GAAGGTCCCCAGCACCAATTTCTCCTGCCTTCCTAATAAGGATTGGTTCCAGATTCCACATGTTGTATGGTACCATCTAGTAGCGTGCCTTCTCTATTTCAGTGCCTCTCCCATGGCGGTAGCTCTTTCCAAAATCCAGATGGCTGGATTTTGGAAATACTGGCTTTTAGAATTATCTTGAAGATCCACTTCTTCCCTTCAGCATTGGGCCAAGATGATGTGTTCATATGTTAATATTTATATTAAACTATTATCTTTGTTCGAAGAATACATGTATATATGCTTTATTTTTGCTCCCCCTCTGAATTTTATTATCTGTATGCATTGCCATTTTTAAAGTTTCAGCCATTCAGACTTGTTTATGAATGAATTGCCAACTGAACTAAGTAAATACATTTCTTAAAGCAATGGCAAATCTCACCTGTCCAAGTAGAAACTAATCCACTTTCTAAATTCTAATATATTATGCGGTCCAATATACTCAAAAACATAAGCATGTATTAAAAGCCACAATGATATCAACATGACACTATGCACATTGTGAGATCATGATGTAAAAACTGCAGATTACATACTTGTGTCAAAGATGCAAAATGAAATAAACAGATAATGTGTCATAACACAAAGAATCTTTCTCTCACTTGTCCCCACATGTGGATAATGTTTTACTAATGTTTCTCTTTTGTCATTCAGCTCCTATTCTACAGCAAAGGAGCTCTAAACCACAGCAGTCTGTACATGTTGTAACATGGGGAAGAAGCAGTTTGCTGTACTTTTCATTCTTCAAGAAGGAACAAAATTATTTATCACACTGCTCAAGGCTCAGCATGATCCATTCCTCGTTTTCATACAACAAATAGGCAGCCTATCACATTCAAAGAGGGAACAGTTTAGGCCACTGAATCCAGACCTCTGCTCATTGCAGAACCCAAATTAAAACAAATAAAAAGCTCTAAGTCTAAAGCCTTCACCTGAACACATCAAATACAGAGGGACAATCACCTTTCTGGGTCATTAGTTCTGCTGTTGAATTTCTCTATGAGGAGGGGCCTATTTCCCCACCAATATTCAGTCAGAATCTGTCCTCCTGTAATTTACACATTTAATTTTCTTTTATGAGACACATTTTCAGATATTTAAAGAATGACATACCCCTCTTCAATATTTTCAGAGCTAACCTACTCCTTCAATCTCTCTTCTAGACCCCTAGTAATTCTAATGTTCTTCTCAGAATCTGATCCAATATGATGCCCAAAACACATTACCTGAGGAATGGTATAACCAAAATAGAATAAAGTGGAGCAATTGCTTAACATGATACATGGATACAGCCTAAAATTCTACACACACTGCACCTATCCCACAAAGTCCTAATTATCTTGTCATTTTGACAAACTGAGTAACAGTTATAACTATATGAGGTAATCTTTTTTCCATGACTGTCATGGGTCAAGGTCTTGAATATCAGTTATCTTTGATGAATAATACAACTTCATTCGAGTCTAATCATCCCCATATCATATTTACTTTTCACTTTAAAGTATAGGCTTTTGAGCAAAGGTAAATTGAACATTTACCACTTTCTGTAATCTCAATGTTGAGATCCAAAATCCAGTACTATTTAGAAAACATTTGAAGGCCACATCTGCTTCATTGAACAATCATTGCTCTTGCTATTCTAGCATTTCAATGTCTTGCACACAAATTTTGCCATTTTAGTTACATATCCCTTTACAACACAATATTAGCAAAAGCTTATGTTGCATTACGTTTGTGAGTATCATGTAATGTGGGCATAACTTCCCACATGTCATTTACAAACCTCCTTTTTTGAAAGATACATGCCAATACTTAAGTAGTCAAAGCACACTTCTTTTATTTCCACTGGAAAGCTCAACAGTCACAAGAAAACCTGAAAAAAATATTTCTGGTGGAAGAGAGGATCAGTGTTCACATATTTCTAACATTTTTACATAATATTCTTAACTGTTATAAAAAAATCCTAGCCTTATAACAGTGCAACACAAATAATCATTCCCTGGCTGAAATGGTTAATGCTGTTATATGTTTTATGGAGTGATACGGCTTAAGTATTCCTCCTATCACACAAAAATTCTGGCACAATATTCTTGGCTTCCATTAAGAATTCCTCAGTACAGATAGTCAACTTACAACAATTCACATACTGACTGTTCAAAGTTACAACAGCACTGAAAAAAGTGACTTAGGACTGTTTTCACAGTTATGATTGCTGCAGCATCCCCATGGTCACAAATTCAAAATTCAGACACCTGGCAACTGACTCATATTTGTGACGGTTGCAGTGTCCGGGGTCATGTGACCATGTTTTTTGACCTTCTGTCAAGCAAAGTCAATGGGGAAGTCAGATTCACTTAACAACCATGTTACTAACTTAACAAATACAGTAATTCACTTAAAAACTGTGGCGAGAAAGGCCACAAAATTCACTTAACAACTGTCTCACTTAGCAACATAAATTTTGGGCTCAATTGTGGCTGTAAGTCAAGGACTACCTGTAAGCTAATACTAACCTGGCTTACTTTCATGTTAATGGTCAGAGAACTGGATGCTCCGGTTTAATGCAAACTCTGCATTCAAGTCAGCACTGCTATGGGACAAGCCCCCTGGCTCCAAAGGCAAATCTCAGTTTCAAATAACATATCCAAAGGTTATCCAAAGCTAGTTTTTTATGGCCTATAGAACTGATATGGATGTCCTACATCAACTCCCTTGAGCTACAACTATTTGAAACCAAATTTTGAAGTAAATGATACCTGCTTGACTTTGAGGGAACAAAGGATGCTTCAAGAAGCAGTGGCTTGCTGATAAGAAGGGAAAAAGTGGACATGTTTCATATCCAAACTAGGAATACTGGCTACAAGAGTGATCTCTAATTTTTCAAAGTACTTAAGAAAACCCTAGCAGAAATACAGACAATGTTACAGGCATAGAAAAAGGTGCACTGGCAAATGTACAAAACAAATTGCCTCGCAGCTGACAGAGTCCTGCATCTGGATCCTAATTGCAGGGCCTCAAGCTTCGCTAATGTCAACAACCCGAATGAATACACCACATGCCAGGATAACTAAATCACATGATCAAAAGGAAGAAAATGAGAATAAAAGATGTATTTTCTCTAAACACCCACCGTGACCTTTAAAACTTATCAAGATGAACCATAAGCAATGAATAGACATAATTATCTTCATTTAGACATTTGATGTGGCTTCCAGGCACCTCCAAGTTTTTGTAAACTGAGCTTTGATCCTAAACACTCAACTTACACTCAAATCCCATTTATTTAAATTAATGGGTGGCAAAAGTCCTTGGAGTTCAGCTTTTTATTCTTCTACAAAGGCATTCCATGTATCTGTACTGTACTGCATGTCCTATGGGCATATGGGAATACTAAAATAAAGCAATACATTTTTTAATCTCAGTGACTTCAAATCCATTGTCTTTGAATAATAATAGAACAGTCAATACTGAATTAACTGATTATAAGCTTTCCCTCAGCTGACCACCCATTCTTGAGCTGCTGATTCCTATCCCAACTCTACTGCTTCTGTTCCCAGTCACCACCAGTCATGTGATTTCCCTCCAAGGTTAAAAGTAACAAAGCTTAATATATTTTATACATATTGAAGATACCCTTGAACAGTGTCAGAAACAAGGGGAGAGATTCATGGAGGAAAACTGAGATGAAAATATTGTAAGGACACAAGAGAAAAACAATAATTCCAGAATGCATCTGGGCCACTAGATGCCTGTACTAAAATCTATAATTTAAAAAAAATGAGCAAGGACTATGCACAAATAACTTATTCCACTAAATACATATTTTAAATGTGACCACAAGATTTAGTCATAGCAAAATGGAAACAATGAGCACAAAAGCTGTACAAAAAGGTAAGTTATGAGATAAAATCTGGCTTCAACTTTAGAAATGTGGGAATATTATGATTCCTCATGGTCTTCACAGGACTTACTTCTGTAGTACAAAGAAGATTTGACTGCTAGAGTTTTACTAAATAGCATTTCTGTTTTTCTGATAAAGTTCTCCAGCATCATATGTCTTGCATGCTTTCAAGACAAACTCTACAAGGCCAAAGTAGAAAGTTTTACAAACTTTATTACTTTAGTTAGAGCAATGGAAATGAAATGTAGGAATAAGAAAATAACATGAACTTATTTTACTTAACAAACATAATAATGGCATGTTTAAGAATATATGCCGTTTAACTGAGAAAAAGAATCTTGGGACATGAAAATGAGTGTTTTATAAAGTTAAATACAAACACCATGTACTATGGGTTTAAAAAAATTATATTCAACTTCTAAAAACGAAAAACAGTGAATGCTCTCCACACCTGCTAGAAATAGTATCTCTATCAACTTTTATACTCCTGCATTTAGAAAAAGAGAGAGCCAAATTCAATAAAGCATTTCTATTTCTCTAATATCACTTTTAGAGAGATCGTTCCTTAAAAGATCATATAGTTGATTGGACTTATTCCCCCCCCTCCTGTCCAGACAGAAACTGGTTCTACCATAACTCTCTGATGCATATGATTCTTTTTTTTCCTTGGGCAGAATAGAGTGTTAAAAGACAAAATCTGATTATTCTGCGAAATAATCAAGGTGGATAGCGTCTAGTGATATTTGGATAAGGCGAAACAACCCACCCGGACCCCTTTCCCTCAACTTTTTAGCAACTTCCTCGGTCAGCAAAGGGAGCAAGCTATTCGGAAAAGTGTCATCTTCCATGCTGCTGCTAGCTGCTGTTCAGCCGACCCCAGAGCGGCAGCCTAGCGCGTTCCTTGGCGCTAAAGTTGAGAGTTCGAATCCAGCGCAGGGAATAAAACTGCCGAAGACAAAGATGGGCGACTTGTGCCTCCCGGGTTTCTGCCACTTCTCCGGCGCCCGCCCAGCACCCTCTGGCCTCCCCAACACACACACACACCTCAGGTTTCCCTTACCTCGCAAAGACAGCAACGCAGCCAACGGGGCCACCCAAAGTGCCCAGCTCGATGAACCCTTGCAAGTCATGCCGGGCGCGGAGAGAAGCTGTGTGGGCAGCCGCGGCGGCGAGTCTTTCTGGCCGCCGAAATCCTACCGAAGCCACCCCTGCTTGAGGGGCGCCAGGTGTTATTTCCGCAACCCGGACAGGCAGAGCTCCGAGCCGGGGCGGCTCCCGCTGCAGCAGCGAGCCGCTCCGGCTCCTCCCGCTGCAGCAGCTGCTGCTGTCCCGGGACCAACCGCTCGCACTGCTTGCTCCCCGGGAGGCTCTGGCGCTCCGGAGCCCAGCAGCCCGGGGCCGCAGCCAGTCTGAGAGCCGGCTCGAGAGCGCAGCCTGGCGGCTCCCCGTGCTGCTACTGCAATCGGTGAGGAAGAAGAGCCGCCGCCTTCCCTTGGCCACAGCACGCGCGCTCGCCGCCGTCCCCGCCAGTCTGGCTCGGGCTACCCCGGGGTGGGGTTCAATACGCGGGGGCTGGGCCGCTCTCCCTCTTGACGCAGCGGGGGGCACGGGCTTTTTCCCGCGCGCCTCCGAGACGGCCGGCCACTGATTGTCTGCACCTTTTGCCTTCAAAGTTCAAGCGCGCTCCCTGCCCAAACCGGCACCTCTTTCCGCTTCTGCTGTTGCTGCCGCCCCAACGCTGCCGAGGCGGCTTACTGGCGGCCCGGTCAACTATATGTGTAAAGAAGAGAGGAGGGGGCTGTTCCCCTCCTGTCTTTCTCCTCAGGTTATCTGAGCTAAAAGAAACTGCTGAAGTTGGAACAATTCTCCTTGCTTTGTATAAAGCCCTCCTAGAAGAGTGACCCGGGATTGCAACCCAGGATCCCTGGCAACGATGAACTTCTGACATCACGCGCAGGCTTGAAAGGTGGACCCGCATTCGCCTTTGTGACATCGCGCACCAGCCCACTAGGGGCGTGCGGCGGGTTCCAAGTGGTGGCGAACTCTTGGCCGAAGCGGTGAAGATTACTTTGGATGCTAATGGAGAAAAGGTGGGAGATGAAAAGACTTCAGATTACAATGCTAGGTTTCTTCTTTATGTAACGTTGGAGGCCATCATTGTTGCACGCATTTCCCCTTCGGAAAAATTCATGGAGATGTACCTCCTTGTGGAGTTAATACAGTGAAAAGAAATCCATAAATCCTTGTTCCAGGTGTGGTCAGAAATGCAAAAGAGGAAAGGAAGTGCAAGTCATGCATACTTGCCTTCAGCTTGCTTACAGATACTATTTAAAGTCTTGTGATCGAATAGGGTGTCTAGTGTAGCGATGCAACCTGAAACTACAACTGGGCAAGACATAATGGGGAGGGAGAGAAGGGGGAATATGCCAAGACACTCACCTAGAATTTCACTGCAGCTCCTTAAGTAGCTGCATCTTTTCTCAGCATATTCTTCAGAGCAACAAGAAAATCCCAGCAAAAAAAATACATTCCATTTATGGAATTGCCAAGCAGGGCTGTGTGCAGGCCCATACATGTGGTAGATAACATTTGCCTTCAAATCTCTTATCACTGCACAGCCTTAATAAATAAAAATGCCATTACTCTTTTCCCACAACAACCCTGTCAGGTGGATTGGCCTGAGAGAGACTGGTCTAAATTCAGAGTCTCCTGTTTTCTAAGTCAGCGCCTTAGCCATTATACCAAACTGGCTATTTTATTTACTTATAAACCATAAGTCTGGCTTCAGTTATGCATGAAAGTGTGAGCAAAGATACTGAATGGATTCACGTTAACCAAACATACTAAAAAAAAAAACATACAGCATGGCTTATTAGGGTATGTAAACACAGCTTTAAAGCCAACTTGGGTACAATGGCTTTATCCCTTAAATTTTTGACATGTAAATTCTATCAGATGTGTTAAGAGTAAAGTTTGACATCAGATGCTTTCTTTCCATGAAGGTACTCTGTTATATGGATCCCGTCAACCAGAATTTCTCACAGACATTTGACACTGTTTATTATGATAACGGTATGTGTGAGAGCTGAGGCTATGTAATCTCATAGGAAAAGGTGAAGCATCGTTTGTTCTTTTTTTAGAATGTATAAATCCAGCAAATTGTAGTTTATTTGAACCTGGTTTCACTACAGATGTTTGTCAGGCCTCCAGTTGAACATGTCTCAAGGCTGATTTAGAATTGTCCACAACTGCCTGTAGGTGTGCCTCATACCTACATTGCAAAAGAGTTGATGGTTAAGTGTAGGTTGCAAATGGCTGCAGAAAGACTGACACAGACACCTCCCAAATCCCAGTTGCACGTTGTGTGGAGATGTACATCCTGAATACTGATTGGTTGTCCAACTTCATATTCTTTTGTTGTATTCAAACAACAAAAGAATATGAAGTTGAACAACCAAGCCCCCTAGCCATAGAGTTATCTTTGTAGAAATATAAATGGAACACCTATGCAACCCTCTCCAAACAGATGCATATGACCCCTGGCTATGTGCAGTGCTGGATAAGTCTGTTCTACCATTAGAAAAGAGAGTTCATCATGTCTCTCAGCAATTGGTTCCACTATCAAATTGCTAGGAAATTGTTCCTAACAGTCAATCTAGATCTGCCTTTTATAACAAGATTATTCAGTTGCAGAGAACATATCTTCACTTCTTCTGTGTGACTCCCCTTCAGATATTTAAAAAGTGCTATCATCTGCTGTCACAATTGTGTTTTCTGGATTCAAAGGAAGTTGTATCTAGTCCCCTCATCATCCTTATTAACCTTTCTCGTCTTTGTTACAGAATCTCTGAAATTAACTGGACATAGTAATCAAAGAGACTGACTAGTACAGATATGATAAAGTATTATGTCCTGTGATTTGAAAATGATATTAATGCAACCTAAAATGCCATTGCCTTTCTAGCAGCCATCAAACTACTTCATCTTAGATTAAACTGCAACGCAGACATCCTTTTCCCATATCCCCGCATCCTATAGCAGTGCATCTGAAGGGTTTTTTTTCCTAATTAAATCACATTCTGATATTTTAAGCCCACTTCTCTCTTACATATCTCTCATGTGTACAGGTTTACAACCACGGTAAATTGAACTGATTGATTGAAGCTAACAAGAAAATTTAGAAATTTATTTTGTCTTCAAAACTATTGTAGCTTTGTGTCATCTGCAAATACGATATACATCTCTCCTCATCTAAATCATGAGTGGAAGATTTCCAGACCCCATGGAACCCCACTTGACCTGCCACTTTAAATTGATACGGAACTGTTGATGAGTACTCTTTGACTGCAGTTTTTAAGCCTGTGGATTCACTTAATAATGCCTCCTCCCAACCCATACTTAAATATCTTACTAATCAAAATGTCTAGGTTATTTGTTACTTGACGTGGACACTACTGCAATGATTCAATGGATATTTTAGTGGCATCACTTTCCTTGAGAAGAAAGATCTGCCAAAAATGTATTTGACGTAGTAGATAAAATTCTGCAGCCCTTTGGAATTCAGCCTGAGTGAAATGTAATTTATGTCTCCAGCACCTCATAGCAGCTGCATCTTTCCCAGGATTTCAGTTTCCCTCCATAGCATTTGTGTGGCCCTGAGAAAAGATGCAGCTGCCTTAAGGAGTTGAAACAAATGCTAAGTTTATAGTCCTGAATGCTCTGAACCCTTTTCTGAGATTAAAAAAAAATGTTGCATAACTTAATACTATCCAGATTAGATTATTCTAAAGGTATCTGTATAGGACTGCTGTTGGAAAGAATTTAAATTTAAAGAATTTAAATCTTCAAATATTTGGATCCTATTTTATCTGGATAAGCTTCCTCTTTTACAGACTCAGTTTTGCTGGTGGGTACCTGTATATCTGGAATGGCTCTGGACAAGAATTATTGAAGGATTACAGAAGTAGGCAACATTTTGGGATATCCTTTCTTTACCCATTCCCACATATATCTGCAAGTCAGTTGTTATAGCTACCAAAATACAATTACAGAGGCTGTAAAGTATCCAGCCAATGTACAGCATAAATTATCTAGCCAATATACAACAGAAAATATAAATTGCATACACGTATCAGATTCATATTCCACCTCCATTCAAATGCTCATGGTGGCATACCTACCATTCCCATTTTAGTACATAAAATCAACATGTATATGTAATAAGAGGATATATAACATCTTGCTATGTCTTCAAGGTTGAAGTAGATTGAACAAGATCTTGGAATGCTGACCATCTTTATCATCTTCCCCAATTCATCTTTGCTCGGCATTCTGGGAGCTGTAGTCTCAACCAATCTAGAGTCCCACAGACTTGAGAAGCCTAGTCTTGGCCATCCTATAGTAAAGCTATGGGATATTTTTCTTTTATTGAGAGTTTGCTAAATTACTTTCTATAGGTCACATTTTAATGATTGGGAAATACATAAAAGCAGCAGAACAATGGATAATGATAAAGCACTGGGACTGCATAGAAAAGGAAACTGCATTTTATAAAGACAATGTTTATTTAAAACACATACTTTTACAACGTCCTACACTGATTTAAGTTTTGGGAGAAAGAAATATAGCGGTACAACAAAAGCTAAAATTTTCAGAGGATAATATTCTCTTGAACTACATATCTAGTACTTGGAATTTGAGCAGCCTGATAACATTAATAGATTTTCCGTGCCCTTACTATAGATAAGATTGATACTGCAGCATTGGAAAGATAAATGTATGGTCCCTTTCACTAAACGGATTGAAGACCCGACTGCACTTGCCACTATCCTCCCAACAGATTGCCTATAGATGTAAGGTCAACTTGCTGTAGGGCCATCGAACAGATAGCAAAGAACACATCACCAATAAATACATGCACTCAATTTTACTCATATCACCAAACCCAATTATGAATAGCAGAAGTTAACCTGAGTTGAATTTTTTTTAAATTTTCTTTTAAACTTTGATTTAAAATTTGGGAACATGTAGTGAGCACATCCACACATGGTACACGTAGTCATTCAAAAGATAACTTATTTTCTAGAAGACAAATTTAATTCCCAGCTTTCTCTGTACTAAGGTATTCCTGCAGCAGACAGATGTAGGTTTAGATATATAAAAACATTAGGAAGTGGCATTTCATTTTGCAAAAGACTACATTTCTATTTAAATATTTAAAATAATGTAATCTTGTAGAAATGTGACTAAGAGATTTCATCAGGCAGCAAGAA